GAAATGATGTTGTACAGAATTAAATAAGTCTTGAATTAAATTCTTAAATTAAAATTTTATACTCTCCGCTTAAGGTATCGTAACTTATTAAGTTTTCGACTAAAGTAAAGCGAGTCTTGTAACGTTTCGACCCATGCGGGTCGGGGCGCTACATTAGTAATAAATAAATATCACACATGTGCCTGAATGTGCAAGTTGAAGATTAAATCGAAATAACAAAATATGTTCCATATCTCTAAAGATTTTAAATTTAATTTCATGCAAATTCAATCATACAAAATCTTTGTTCTTGGCATATGATCATCTTAAAGATAGGCATGTGGTGGATGAAACTCCCGTGAAAGTTTTTATCAAAAGCACACATTCTTCATCAATCTACTATTTCAAAATGCATTCTACCTAAAAAATGGGGCTCAAACATGCTTTTAGTTTTAATTAATTATTAGAAAGTTATGTGAATTTACATATAATGGGTGAGCGAAATATCGATAATCGGAACAAAAAAAATTTTAAAAATTGGACAAAAAGAAAAGATCCTTTAACATAATTAAATTATTCATGGGAAGATTAGAGACGAATACATATCAACAAATCTGTTAATTTAGATACAAAATTTTTAATCAAAAAATCGATCTTGTTACACCTCTTGCCTATGAGGCTCAAGTGAAAACCCACACGGCCGAAGTCAAGACTTGATTGAAGCCCATGAAAGAGGTCCAAATTGAATCAATGAGAAGAAGCCTAACAGCCGAAGTGCATCTTTACAGACGAGGTCCTAAGCCATATGACCTTATTCCGAACCGACCACTATGGGTGATGTCCTACTCTTCGAAGCCCCCTCCCCCAAGCATCACCAACTACAATGAGCTTCAGATCAAAGGGATCCCAATGAAGATCTGCTGAAGGCAATTAATGTGACGGTAGATTAATTGTACAAAATACTGTTGTAGAATGGCTCTTCTCAGAGCTTGTAGAATGGCTATTGTGCAAGTGGGTGATAGTGACGTATGTGAAATGCAATTAGCAGGTCGGATGATGCCATGTATGCCTCATTCTTTGGCTTGCGACCCATCTAGCCATCACTTCAATTATCGGTTCGGTATTGGGTTAATTGGACGTGAGTCGGACCCATCATCTGTTTGTCTCATTTTCATGGGTCAACTAATTGACATAGTCTGTGGGAAGCCACACATTCAACCACAAGG